TTTAATTGTGAAAATTCCTCAAGGAGTTTTGTGGTGTAATTCTGCATCATTCCTGAAAATTTCAGCTTTAGACGAATTATTTTCATTTCAAATCTAATGGCCCTGGACTGGATAGATATATAGACTTATAGACAGACTGATATGTATATATTTTTCTATTTGGGGACAAATTTCATGAAGCTGAACCATGAAGTTTATCTGGTGTATATGACTGCTAAAACACATACAACACAACAACACTAACGTTACCACTAGTTTATTCATACCCACATACTTCACGACCCCTCCCCTCCCCCACAACCCCCACCCCAACGACCCCCCACACACACATACACACCATCACCCACATTCATGCTATTCTCTACGTACACTTACCTAGTTGTCATTGTTTAAATTATTAATGTCAAGTCAACTGGAATTTCTGTGAGAATAGTTATAATGTTTGGTATTGTGTGTCGTGTCAGCGTCGTTGGCATGTCTGTGTGTTTATCTGTCGATTAAAATTTAGACAGTATGGTAAGTCCTCTGCTTTAAATCCATGAGTGCAATGATTTAATATCCTGAGTACCATGGCCTTACCTCCTGAGTACCATGACCTAACCTCCTGAGTACAATGACCTAACCTCCTGAGTACCTTGTCCGAACCTCCTGAGTACAATGGAATCTTTACTCAGGGGACTACATCGTCGTCTTTCAAGGGGTTAACACATTATTCTCAAGGGATCAATAAGTAATCACTAAGAATGTCGTTCTCAGTGTAACAACCCGGAAGATGGACTTGTACCCGAACGGTCACTCACCTTGTGGGACCCATCGAAGGAGTGACCACGACAACAAAACATCACGGTCATGTACTGTAGAGGCATAGAAAACTATCCATGGCTGTTGGCTCCTGTCTTTTGTATGCCTGGGTTTACTGCCACGGCTGAACGAGACATTGTCCGTACGTTCGTGTCCGTTATTGAAGCTCTCACACACACACACACACCTCTGCCTCTTCCTGTATCGCACCGAGCACTCGCGTACCTTGGCGTATGGGAATGACAGGTTCATTTCGATAATTCCCAGATAAAAAATAGACTGAGATTACTATACTGACTGGTCGGTGATTAACTGGTGCAAAGTAACTGGCTGGTGACCACTAGAGAGTTTACCGAGTGTGTGATGGTGACTGGTATGAAGTGACTGGTCGGTGGTAGCTGATGTAAAATGACTGGTTGATAGTAAGTGGCATAAACTGACTGGCGCGAGATGATTTGGTAATAAAAACTGATGTTGACAATGGGTCAACTAAGTGGACAATAATTAGTGGTATAATTTAACTGGAAGATGCTAACTGGTGTGAACTGACGCACTATAAATAAACGTATTAAGGTAACTGAATATTAACTGGTGCTCCTTGAATGTGAGAAACACCTACACCAGGTAAGCGTCAGGTAACACACAGTCTAATTAGCCACAATGAAGTGACAGGTAACACCCGGAGGAGGTACACAGTGGTTTCTTATGGTTTACCTGAGAAAATAAAGGCAGGGAAAATAATGATAGTAATAATAATAACAATAATAATAATAATAATAACAGCGACAACAACAATAACAACAATAACAACAACAAATGCTGAGATAATTATTTTTGAAACAACCTATAGGTCAATCGTAAGTATTTTTATAACTTGACTTTCACATCTCGTCACACTATCATATGCATAGTGTGGTGTATACAGTATAATGTATTTACTATCAGAAAACACAATGTTAATCGCAAAAATAAATAATCTTATTACTATTATTTGTCCCTGGCAGTGTGTTATTGAGAGGCTTGTGAGGAGTACCTGACCTGACCTGACCTGACCTGACCTGACCTAAAACACATAACCCTAAGTACTAAAAGGTTAAGGTCCTCCTCTAGTTTGCTGAGTCATTATATCATGTCACGCTCCAAATCCCAAGCGTGACCAGACTACTATAACACTGACATGAAGAGGTGACGTACTATCCAGCCCTTCACCTCACCAGATGCAGTGAAATTTAGGGACCATTGTTATTGTTTGGTAATTATTGTATTTATAATTAATCATTATTCTAATCATCATTATTATTATCAATCATTAGTATGTATTATTTCACTGCTGGTTGAAGGTCTCCCACATATACATAATCACATACATATACTTATAGCATCTTACCTGCCCATTAAGCATACCTACAGATTTGCTAATAATCATCTATCGAATTTTTATAGCCAGTTTTCTCATACTATTATAGGCAAAAAATAGTTCAGTATTCACTATGTCATCATTACCATTCTCACTTACCTACACACAATCACAGGTAAAACAGTTGAATTAAGAAACGAAAATAACAACTCGACAGGAACGGTCTGGTTGTGTCCGCGTCTGACTCCAGTCCAAAATACTCTCACTTAATACAAATTGGATATCGTAAAATATAATGCGTAAAGGTGGTATTTGATTCTTATATATTCACGATATTGTTGTATTTATGTTATATTTTTAGTGTATCATATATGCGTGATATAATTAGCGTTATTTTTATAGTTAGGTCGAAGATACATAACCTGAAACTTTGGGTGAAACTAGTGTCTTTATTTTCACTGTGTACAAGATTGTGTGGCGTAATTATATAGTACTGTACCTGAACTCTCGGCTGTACCTATAATCTTGGGTTCTGAAATATTTAGTTGTTCAATAATGTAGTGATTCGAAGTAATGATTTCGTATTACTATTGTTATTTTTTTTTTGACATTTTTTGAAAGGTACCTGTACTAATAACTATACCTGTAATGTTGATTTTCATTTGTTGCAAGATTAATTAATGCGTTAATGTTCGTTTATCTTAAGTAATGTTTATATGCTGTTTTGATTTTGATATCTTTTTGCTGTAACTGTAACGTAATTTCTGAATCCACGTTATTTTCACCTGTACTGTAATGCTAACTTTGAATCCATAAGTCACTGTACTATAATAATACACATTAATTCTAAGTAATATCTATGTACTACCATGAGTTTGAATTCTCTGTATTTAAGGCTATACCTGCTCTGTAATTTTGTAGTTCATAATATCTGTATCTGTCGTTGTATTGCTGTTTGTAAATATTAAAATTAAAATCAATATTTGTCTCACGCGTAGTAAACATAACCAGATATTTTCCAGGTAAGATTTTGGACGCATTGTAATTACCTGATGTTTGAGTAAAACTGTCTGACTCACCTCTGATTCACCTGAAATGGAGCATCTCTATCCCATCTGATAACTCACAACTAACTCAACTGCATGAATCATCACACACACACACACACACACACACACACACACACACACACACACACACACACACACACACACATTTGTCATTCAACTATACTCTATGTTTTATCTCTGAGTGGTTTGTTCTGACTCATCTAATATGGCTCACAGGTGACTTTGACTCACAGGTTCAGGTGGACTAGTACCACGTATAGAATTCCGACAGCTATTCAGGTCTTGGACGCATTCTTCGGCGTTTGATTGGCATTTATATTGCAAAGCTTTACCAAGACATGACCTACCTGGCTCCCCTCTCTCCCCTCTGTCTCAGTATGCTTCTGTCTGTCTGTCTGTCTGTCTGTCTGTCTGTCTGTCTGTCTGTCTGTCTGTCTGTCGATGGTATTTTCACCAACATCTAGTTATTGTAGAAAAAATCTTACCAGTTATCCAAAGAATCGTATCTTTAGTTACTCATACTAAATTAAGATACGAAACAAAAATGGCTTCAGAATCATACTGAGACCATAGCTGTAACTAAATGCGTTCTCTTGTCTTTAGTTACGAGGAAATAAGATTATTTTAAGATTTTTTTTTTTTATATAAATTAGAACCTTAAGTGTAAATCCCTGACAACTGGTATAGGTAGACTTGTTTTGCCTCTCAGCATCTCATCTCTGTCAGCAGTGTCTTAAGTTAATTAGAGTCGTTCTCAAATTCTCTCTCGTATGAAGACAAAATTATCGTAAGAATCTTTGAGAATCTGGGTTTAAATTCACAGGGCTCGTACGGTGATTATTCCTCGTAAGTTCAGTTATAAGATTGTAAACGGAAACATGAGCTGAATCACAACAAATAGCGTCCACAAATATTATTAAAATTACACTTAGGGGGATACACCTTCACTAGTTAGCTTCCCTTAGCAGACAAAACAAAGGTAGAGTGTCATTAAAAACATCACCTACGTTAATTGTCTCCTCAATGTATCATCCACAAGTCTGAGGATTGGACACCACCGCCCACTACCACTCCAAAAATGTTCCGTCTGTCTTTACCAATTTTCACAATGTCGCCCATAACTGATGCTAAGTGAACAAAGTAAGTATTATGGTGTTATTTTAGGATGTTATTTTTCTGTTGGGTACATTACCATATATCAAGCTACGAGGAATTTTCATAGCGTAAGCCATTGAAAGTCAGGGGAGGAGTGTAAGGGTGTTGACGTGCATGGCGTGGCAGGGGGGAGGGAGGTATATCAATCGTTTCTTGTTCCGCCCTGATACTGTCACGCTCTGTCACGGGTTGCGAGGAGAGGCGTCGTATACCCACTGTTTACAAAATGTCGTCCCTAGGATTTAGCGAACTGGTTGATATAAAAATGTGTATTTATACGCATATATTTAAAGTTAAATAGTGAACTAACGATACTGATTGTTCGATATATACTACGAAATTTACTGACCTGGTAATATATATATATATACTATACTATATGACTATAGCTGGTCATATAGCACAGTGATATATACAGATGTAGTGAACAAGGTGTTATACAGAGACTCGGGGCTGTAAATTAACAATGAGAATTTCTTCCTCTGTCGTGGAATGTGAGAGAGAAAGAGAGAGAGAGAGAGAGAGAGAGAGAGAGAGAGAGAGAGAGAGAGAGACACACACACAGACAGGCACACAGACCATCTATACAACTAACTAACCAAATCCTCTTCCCGCAGGATGGAGCGCTACGAGAGCCTGGGTGTGGTAGGGGAAGGTTCTTATGGCCTGGTCCTCCGCTGCCGCCACAAGGAATCTGGCCAGACTGTCGCCATCAAGAAGTTCCTGGAGAGTGAGGATGATCACACCGTCAAGAAGATCGCCCTCAGGGAAGTCCGCATGCTGAAGGTGGGTCTTGGGTTCATTTACCTGGCGATTTCGGGTTTACCTGGGGATTGAGGGGTTTAATTGAGTCGAGGTTTAACATTGGTATACCTCGAGTCTCTGGAGCTCTATATTTTCCTGTCAGTTCTACCTGGAGCTCTAGAAGTGCGAGAGTCCTCTTATCTATTTTCAGTAATCACGTATATAAGAATATATTAAGCTCTAAAAAGGTGTGGGTGGAGCTGAGAGTAGAGAGCTTCGTCAGTGATTAATGTAATTACTCACTGACCAAACCTACGACCGCCATCTAATGTTACTTTTTTTTTACACTAGACTGAAGTAAAATCAACTAAACTTAACTATAATCACAGTGGGACTCACGGAGCACTGTGTTCACTCACTCACTCACTCACTCACTCACTGACGGAGACATAATGAATTCATATCCAGGTGCAATAGAGCTCATAATTACGTTTTCTTTCATCATCCAAATCAATATATTTCACCTCATTCTTTGACCTTTTTTTTATCCAATTTATTATGTCGACACAACATTTCTTTGTTTATTATAATCATGTATTTCCAATTTCCTTTCTCATTTGAATTTTTTCTCGGAATATTATGTTTATTATTGTGATACGACGCAGGGACACACACACACACACACACACACACACACACACACACACACACACACACAGTTGGCCGAGTCACCACCAACCAACATGAAATATTCAGTGAAAAAAACAAACAGTTCCCCAGGATGATAACATGAGATTATAATTCTGTCTCATTTCCTCTCTGTCTCTTTGTCTGTCAGTGTGTCAGTAAGGTGACTCATCGTGGCTACAGGAACCGTAATCAGTTAACAGGAACGAGAGGAAGAAAAAAAAAACATCGGTAGTGTTTGTTTTGGTTCGTTCTGATAATGGGGAAGAGTGTGTGGTGGGTGCGTGTGTGTCTGTCTGTCTGTCTGTCTGTCTGTCTACAATTCTGCCTATCTGTCTATTCTGCCTGCCTGTCTGTCAATGTCTGTCTGTCTTTACATCTCTTCTTGTATACAACATTTTCCTTTTCATTCCTCACATATTATCCCTTATCTTCTTCTTTCCTTCTAAGGCTTTTTATCATATTCTCTTAGGTGAGGTCGTCAGTGTTAATAGTAAGAGTGATGGCAGCAGTGTGGAAGGTCATTGTTTGATCTAGGTGCAGGAGGGGAGGGTGGTGCGGGAGGAGGGTGGTGCGAGGAGGGAGGGTGGTGCAGGAGGGTTTGGTGCGGAAGGGGTGGTGCGGGAGGAGGGGGTGCAGGAGGGGGTTGGTGCGGGAGGAGGGGTGGAAGGGGTGGTGCAGGAGGAGGGGGTGCAGGAGGGTGGTGGGAGGAGGAGGGTGGTGCAGGAGGGGTGGTGCAGGAGGGGTGGTGCAGGAAGGGTTGGTGCAGGAGGTTGGTGCAGGAGGGGGATGGTGCGGGAGTAGGGGTGCGTGGGGTTGTGTTGTGAGGTGAATGAACTATCGATGTAATAGTTTTTATTTATATTTTATTTTGTTTATTAAGTCTTATGTGTTTTATCTCTTGGACTCGTTACTAATCTTTATATATCTCTCTATCTCTCTATCTGCGTGTTGTGTTGTATGTGTTTATTTTTATCTCTCTAACCATCTATTTTATAATATATATATTGTCTCTCTCTCTCTCTCTCTCTCTCTCTCTCTCTCTCTCTCTCTCTCTCTCTCTCTCTCTCTCATCACCACAAAAATATACACCTTGTCCGTCACACTTCTCAATTCCTTAAACTATCATAGAATAAATAAGGATAAAATTCAACAGGTGTTTATCAGGTGTTGTCTGTCACGTGTGTAGCTTGAGGGATAAACCTTCACTACAAAGTTATAATCAGGGGGTTAATGCATCTTTATCCTCATTAACTAAAATTTACTAACTTAACTATATATATATACATTTTTCCCTGGTTATAATTACTAAATATAATTCTATATGTTATACCTTATTATACTTAGTTAAATGTACTCCAAGTTATGAATAAAAAAGGTATGAATAATGACCTAATGTTAAAATGTCCCTCAAGTTAGTTAGGTAAATGTATTCAGTTAACTATATATGTTATATTTTATGCTCTAGTACAAAGTTACTAGAACATGTTATGTTATCCTTCCCTTTAGTAAGATTACAGATAACTTTATTTCTTCTCCTATACTAATACATAGTTTGTAATCATCTAGATAACCTATGTGTCTCCACTTCACACCCACCTCACCCTTTCACTCCTTCTCTCCCTCTCACCCCTTCACCCACCCTCTCACACCCCCATCCCCTCACCCCCCTCCACCACCTCACACCCCTCCGAACATCAACTAGGCTTCTAAACTACACCTCCTCCATAATAATTACATATAATTTATAATTAAGGTAAAATTGCCCTTTTTCTCCCCCTAATATACAATGCTATGAATAAGTGAGGTAAAATTAATGTATATTCTCTATGATAATTTTAAGCTAATTATTCTTATACAATAGACTGTATTTCTTCCCTAATACAGATTAAGAGAAAGCTAAAATTTCCCTCGCAACACTATAGCTGTAATAACTACCAGCCAGCTATATATATACTATTTGTTATCAGTTTATAGTCTTATATACCACTGTATAATCAACCGATAAAAGCTTATTTAACCTTTATAAATTACTGTAATAATCAATGTATATAAGGTTTATAAGCCTATATAATTAACCTAAATATTCACCATATATAAACTATCTAATTAACCCTTATTAAGCCAAAATAATTAACTTATATAAACCTATATTATATGCCATATATTATCTCTAATACACCTGGTCCTCCCCCTCAGCACACACACACACACCACTCAGGGTCACTTCCCTCTTGGTTGAGGCCACACGGGTGAGGAACACACTCCTTCACCCTCAACAAACTCCCTAAACGAAGTGTCGACATTTTTCACTCTCGTTCCTTCCGTCGATCATCACGCGAAGAGGGAACTCGGTAAACATTGGTTGAGGTGTGGCTGAGGGGACGTGGGGGAGGGGTGAGGAGGTGGGAGGGAAGGTTCTCTGGGAGGGTAAAGTAGGGTAGGTGCCTCTCAGCCTTCAATAAGAACTAACAAACGGTGTAAGGTTCTGGAGACTCAGTGAATGAAACTTAACCCTAGGAGCTGCCGTTCTCAGTAAGCTCTACATTAAGGGTCGTCCGTCGGTGTTGTGGTCGTGAGGGTTGGTGACGCGGCCTCCTCTCGGGTTGGTAAAGGTTAGGATGACTCACGCTACTACTACTACTACTACGTGTCTGTTGTGAGGTGTGCTGAAGCCTCTGTTTTCCTATTATAATCCGTTTATTCTTTCCCACTTACTGCTTACGTTACTAACTAATGTTTCTGTTGTCATTTTATCATCTTGTTTGTACGAGTATAAGGAAAATATTCAACTAATGTTATCAGAGAATGGTAAAGTATTAGACACAAGCTGACGTTTAGGAACACTTCTCTACAGCAAGAGCCTAAAATAGTCACAGACGTATTTAATTAAAGGTTATCGATTATCAGTGATTTTGTATTAAAGCCATAAATGATTCCCTTAACTAATCACATAAAATACTACGAGAAAGGTCAGTGCGATCGAGTAGAAAATATATATAGACAAAACCCTATCTAATGTATTAGGTCCCAGACATCTCAACAACATGCTGTGCTCGATACTGTGACAATTTTTCACCGTCGTTGCTTGGGTTAGTGAGTCAGGTCGTAATAATCAGGCTTAGAGCTGCTGGCGCAACTAACGGTTTTAAGGTGTTCAGTCATTGTAATCTTAAAACTTCACTTGGAAATTTCTTGAAAATCTAGAATGCTTCTCTCTCTCTTAGTTATTATTACAAGTAGTTAAGTGTTACCTACGTGTGTGTTGGTATGCGTGTTCGATTTGGTAGTTAGGTTTAATGTTAGCGTTTATAAATGTTAAGTATAATGGAAGCCCCTCGAAATCGAGGATGGCCGGTCCAAGGGCCTCTTAGGCGTGAATTTGATAAGGAGAAGAAGCTGTCACCAACACAACAACCACACCCTAAGTTAACGAGCTGCATGATCCAGTGTCACGGAGTAGTCTGAAAAGACTGGACAACTCAGCTGGCTAACCATTACCCCGGAATACGATCCGCAAATCCATTTACATCCAGGTTCCTAATTACTGCTGGATAGACAGAGGCAAACGGCGTAAAGAGACTTGTTCATAGTTTCACCCTGCCAGAGGATCGAACTCAGGTCCCCTCGCTTGCGAGGCGAGGATGCTGACTATCACACCACAGTATATTGATATATGATAATGTAATATTGTATCTGATGTTGTTGATAAATACTGTTATTGTTTCTAATATTGTTGTTATATGACACTCTTTGTAATGTAATGCTTAAGACAAACAAATGTATTAAAAATAAGTGACGCTAATGTAGAGGACTAGCTAAATTAAGTTCCGCACCAAATAGTGATAGGTTTGGGATCCCTCAGTCGGCACTGTCGGTCTGCCGGTCACCCGACTCACCGTGAGTCACCGGTGAGAGCCAGACGTGACCGGGACTCCCAGCAAGGCAGACAAACATTTGTTGAATTTGGGGAACAGTTACTCAGGTTTTGTATATCAGTACTGCTTAACAGATCCTGAACCTGTTTTTATGCCTCTGAACCTTTTTCAGAAACTACGACACGAGAACCTAGTGAACCTGATTGAGTTTTTCCGTCGTAAGCGTCGCCTCTACCTGGTGTTCGAGTACGTGGACCACACCATCTTGGACGAGCTGGAGGCCACGGAGACGGGGCTGGCCGAGGATACGGCCAGAGCCCACATCTTTCAAGTCCTTCGGGGCATCGCCTTCTGCCATCAGAACCAGGTTAGTTCACCCAAGGAGTCGGTTCAGGATAGCGAATCAAGTCAGTTAGTAAGAGAATTTATAGTCAGGGCAGTGAAAGAATTAAGTCAGGGCATTGGTAGATTCAAGTCAGTCAGTGAAAAAATTAAGTCCTGCAGTGAGAGAATTAAGTCATGAGCAATGAAATAATCTAGTCAGGACAGTGAAAGAGAAAGAGGAAAAACTATGCACTTTTAATATAATGTTTCACTGGCAAGAAATGCTTGTTTGTTCGGCGATTCATAATGACTTGTAATCCTGGGTAAGAAAATCCCCTTTCTCCTGGATTGTTAGTAGCTGTTAATAAAGGGTTTATCATCACAATTAACACCTAACCCACACAAGTAAAGCACCCAGGCAATATGGAGTGGTTTCATATCTTTACAATTATAGATTCATACTTCCTCTATAATAAAAAAAAAAAAACCCGGGTGAAAATTTTCGAGAAGACCATAATTTTTTTGTTCTTCCCGAAGTTAAAATTTAAGGTGACTATTGTGGTCTTTTTAGAGAGAAGGAAAATACTAGCTGTATTATTAAAGTTTACTGAGACTTATAGAACAGACTGATATAGTGATATAACGATAATTACAATTACATTTCGTGAATCTAAACCACAATTTGCAATGTTCTACCCATCAACTTATCTGAAGTAGTTGTCCTCGATCGCCACACAAACATACCCAGTGATTGATGACTAATGGACCCCTGTTCTAATAGGCCCCAATTGACTATTATGGGTCCTAGTATTGAAGGACCTCTATCTTACACGTTGAGGTTTTACTGGGGGCTCTACTGAGATTGTGTTCTTTGAGAGGACTGGCCTAACATACACTCTCAGCAGTCACATCTTGAGTGGGATTTACAAGACTTCAGCTGTCCCATTATGATTTTCATATGAAAACTGTCCCTCTCTCACTTTCAACCACGTTCTTCACCACCACCTTACTCACCCTCTATAACCTCCCTTACTCACCCCATAACCCCCCTTACCCCTATAACCTCCCATACTCACCCCTATAACCTCTCTTACTCACCCTTATAACCTCCCTCACTCACCCCTATGACCTCCCTTACTCACCCTTATGACCGCCCTTACTCACCCCTATAACCTCTCTTTCTCACCCCCTATAACCTCCCTTACTCGCCCCTATAACCTCCCTTACTCATCGTTCGTTGTTCCACAGATCATACACCGTGACATCAAACCGGAGAACGTGTTGGTCAGTCGTCTTGGCGTGGTCAAGTTATGTGATTTCGGGTTCGCGCGGCTGCTGGCTGGTCCGGGAGAGTCCTGTACAGATTACGTAGCCACCAGATGGTATCGCGCCCCTGAGCTGCTCGTAGGCGACACCAGATACGGCAGGTGAGGACTGAAGGTGTTATATGTTACGTCCTTTGTTGACGCTCGAATAATTAAAGATAGTCCATGTGTATGTTGCAAGTACGTGTAGGTACATATTATTCTACACAGTTTATGATACTAAACAATTCAAGTTCAGGCAGAGAAAACTATAGCAAGTCCAGGTGTATGTTTCAGTATGGCAAAGAAGACTGTAAGGTGTTCTTTATTCGATTCACCAAGTTCAAGAAAGAGTTTAAGCAGCGGGACTACAACACAATCCACATTTATGAAATTTTGCAAAGTGGCAAAGAAAGTCTAAGGATGTTCTTGTTACATCATTCAGGAAAATGTTTGTTTACAAAAGTCATAGACGACCTAGAGTCTCTTTATTGTGCAACACTTTCCAAAAAACAAATTGTAATGTTAGTTAAGTTATATCGACCAGGAAGGAGTTTGTTCATTCACGTGGTTGTTCCTACAGGGAGGTGGACGTGTGGGCTTCTGGGTGTCTACTGTCCGAGATGCTGACGGGAGAACCTCTCTTCCCGGGCGAATCTGATATCGACCAACTCTTTCACATCATTCAGACCCTTGGTGAGTCATGTGTGGGGGTGGGGGAGACTCTTCCACACCATTCAGACCCTTGGTGAGTCATGTGTGGGGGTGGGGGACACTCTTCCACATCATCCAGACCCTTGGTGAGTCATTTGTGGGGGAGACTCTTCCACACCCTTTCAGACCCTTGGTGAGTCATGTGTGGGGGTGGGGGACACTCTTCCACATAATTCAGACCCTTGGTGAGTCATGTGTGGGGGTGGGGGATACTCTTCTATCATTATGCTATTTTCATATCATACACACGGCCGGCAAATCAAATGAGAGAATAGATATCTTTTTCATCACCCGAGAGTCTAAACAGTATAATCCACTATAACATGACAGAGTATAAAGAGATAAGCGATTTATGAATACAAGATAACCAGTAACACAGCAGGACACTATCACCAGGTTGGCCATATATTAAGGGCTAATGTCGAGTTGGTGGCGTTAACAAGGTAGCCACATTAGCGAGCTCAGTTGAGTGTTATATATGTACCGCTGTAGGGATACTTCTCCTTGGCCAGTCTCAACTACCGACGGTACTGTAATTATTAAGGCTTTGGGTTAACTCTTGGTAAATATATAGAAACTGTAGAATTCTAAAGATTAAATGCAGATCTCTTAAACTTGCGAGAGAGATTATGAGAGGGAGATACCATGATTGATGAACAATATCCTTTTAAATACATGAGAAAAAGAATTACATGGAAAAAATATATTTAATATTTCAATAATATGTGTATCAGTTTGTAAGTTAAATTATCAACAGGCACAGGTAGCATATTAGTGTCTGTGTGTAGATATAAATGTAGTGGAATTTATAGCAAGGAATATACAGCGTAGGGAAGTGTGTAATGAGGATTAACCCTTTCACTGCGTGTCACTCACTTGTCATTTTATTTTGGGTACCACCAGACGATTTTATTCAGCTTAGGGTTAACCTCCCGCTGTGGAAGGGTTAACATAAGACGACGAAGGAGTGATTAGTAAAGATAACAAGAATGAGGAATGTAGTGACGTTAAGTTTTATTTTCAGGAGAGCTAAGTAACTCCCACCGTCAGATGGTAGAAAGGAATCCCATGTTGGCGGGACTCCGTCTGCCAGCGGCTGCCTCCACGCCCCTGGTCTCCTCCTTCCCAAGCTGGTCCACTCGTGCCCATGCCTTCGTTTCTGCCTGTCTCTGCCTGGAGCCTTCAGCGCGGCCCTCAGCACAAGAGCTCCTTAACCACGAGTTCTTCCTCCATGACTGTTTCCCGGACAGCTTCCTGCCAGTGTTAAGGCAGAAGGTGCAGCAGGAGTTCAGCACAAACACTTTGCTTGGAATGAGCGGTCGTCGTGGCTCCAGCACCGCCGCCGACAGGAGAGGCCGTGGGCGAAAAGTCCCAGGAGGCAACAGCCCTGACAATATGTACGGGAGAAGTCTCGTCAGACAAGCAACCACACAGCTCACACCGACCTCCAGACCTGACAATATCAACGCTGTTCGGTCAGTACCAGGGTCTTGTGGACGAAACCTGCATGACACACAATACCCACATGACAGTACCTGCATGACACATAACAGCACCCATATAACACATGATAATGCCCACATAACACGAAAATACCAGCATAACACGACAGTACCCGCATGACATAAGAACATAAGAAAATAAGGAGTCTGCATGACATGACAATACCTGCATGATCTGTCAATACCTGCGTGATATGACAATACCCTCATAGAATGACAACACCCATATGACCATGCATGACACATGGCAGTTCCCATACGACATATGACAGTACCCACATGACACACAAGAAGTACCAGCTTGTGTGTCCCCGAAGCCCCTTTAAACACCTCCAAAGACAACACCCTCATTGTTACGTGGCAGCACTTGCATGAAAGACGTCAATACTCACAAAAAACACCCACAACGCCCAGTTCCCTGTTTATTATTCACACACCAGACACGGACCAACAACACCACCTGTCTCCATCCTCACAAGTGTAGAGACAGGTATTACTTCCATGATGAAATAATTACATAAAAGTTGCGTATATTTTCAGATACTTACTACACTATTTTGGTGAGAAGTGACATGAAAATTAGAAGTAACCTAATCTAAGCTACGTCACCTAATTTACTCTACGTAACCAAATCTAACTTGCATAACCTAATCTATCTTACATAAACTCATCTAACCTATGCAACCTAATCTAACCTACATAACCTAATCTAACATAGGTAACCTGATCTAGTCTAGGTAACTTACTCTAACCTAGGTAACTTACTCTAACCTAGGTAACCTAATCTAGCCTAGGTAACCTTTTCTAGCCTAGGTAACCTAATCTAACTTACAGTTTACAGCAAAATTTCTAATAAGAAATTGACCCAATTTTCACTCTTGGTATTCCATTTTCAGCTCGTCCCCCACGAAGCACTCTCAGCTAAGCCAGCCACAGAATACCCAACAGGTCTCTGTCTCTCGTCCCACGGTGTCTTTTGCTCCCCTGACGCCCTCCCATGTTCGGATAGGGGCAGGAGGAGCTTCTGGCAGTACCACGGGAGTGCCTAACACCAGCGGCAGCAGTAGTGGCAGTAACACGGCAATAGGTGGTAATGAAGGACCAGCCAACTCTTCTATGCTCATACCCCCCTTGAAGGACCTCCACACGACGGCAGCTTCCTCCAACGCCACCATCACCACACCCTCCTCCTCCTTCAACAACAACAACACCATCGCCCTCACCCTTCACATCACCGGCACCACCAACACCACCTCACCCGCCCGCACTGGCAGGTGAGGGAACTGTGGTGGTATTAGAGGTAGAGAGAGAGATAGACAGAGAGAGAGATAGACAGAGAGATAGACAGAGAGACAGACAGACAGAGAGAGAGAGAGAGAGAGAGAATTTGTATTTTGAATTTTTCGGTAAACAATGTAAATCCTTTGATCTATAGCGCAAAAGAATTACATATAAGGTCAAGATTAGCCTTTGTCAAACCTCAGATGCTTGCCCATGAGGCTTTATTTTCTCCTTTTTTTTTCAAGTTACTCAATGCCTTTCTCATTATGAAGAATCAGGGCTGGTGCATGGTAATCTGTCAGAGATAGTAAATATCCTAAGGGCATTTTAACAGTTATATTATTGAGACCATATTTTGTGTTACAGTGTATGAGAGGTGAGCTTTAATGGCCCACTTTTGTGTCAGGTCACAACCGTTTGGTATCTTTGATATCTTCCGACATTCAGGTCAAGTCTTTGTGAGAATAGACCAGTATGTCAGTGTAGATCTCAGTTCATGTAAGTTCAGCTCAAGGTTCACATGGTCAACTCACATTTGACCTGAGCTCCCCTAAAGTTGACCCTTCCTGGCATTACCTGCTATGGAAATTCTGACCTGATAGATCTGTGACAATATGTTCTCGTGTCGGCACTGGTCACTGACATGATGGTCGGTAATTTCGGCGCCGGCACAACAACCTTTGTCACTTGTCAAGTCGGGTAAAAATTGCGCCACCTTGGGTCCGCCACTAATTTGATATATTTATTTAATATCATCTAAATACAATTATTTTATATGGTCAGTGTGTCTGTGTCAAGATGAAAATCTGAAGCCAGGCCTGTGGCTTCGAAGCCGAAGCCAAGTCCAAAAAGCATGGTTTCCAGCCCCATGTCTGGCCGGTACTGCACTCAAATGCATTCACTTCCCCAAGTTGTAAACTTAGGTACTCATTTACAGCTGGGTGAACTGGGAGAGCCCAGCGATCGACCCACCGACCCATGGAACAAGAGACGAACGCTGTATCCACTCGACCGCCGCACTCCCAAAGAAAGTGTATAAAAGGTTTAATGTTAATTTTATACATCTCACCGTTATTAAGTGACAGTCACCTAACGCTCTCCACCTCTCATCAACAGAGGGAACGACAAAAGCAGAAAGTCTCCAGTCAGTCTTTGGGGCGCTAGCGTGAAGAACCGCAGCCAGGGTCTCTGCATCCAGGGTCAGGGCCAGAATACAGGGCAGGGCCACCAGGTCCACTGGGATGATGATGACCACCTCGGTCTGCTGTCAGACGGGCCTCCCTCCATCATCTCCGGCATGCGTCACCACACCAGTGACCTCACACGAACTTCAGATATGAATCGTCCGATGGATCTGAGTCGCCACCCGTATACCATCAGTCTCGACCGGACGAAGGAGCTGGTGGCCAGAGAGTCTCGGGAGAATGTGGCGGCCATTCGAGACAGCTTCAGTAGGGATTACGCAAGAGATCCACTGAAGGAGATCAAAGACAACCCCAGGGATTTGCTGGGACACAGGGACTTGAGGGACTCCATGCGACGTCCCAAACTCGAGGTCATGGGATGGGCCAAGCCTCGCCTGCTCAACGATGATCTCTCGCTTCCTAATGTACCTGGAGGCGAGTCCTTAATGTCCTGTCCCTCAGCAATTTAAATGTAGAATTAAACACACTTCAGTTGAGGACACCAGGTTACCTGTGTACAGCGTCTGATGAAATTTCTCTTTTATAGGTTCATCACTTAAGTTCTTTTTCCTCCAGTCCATTAAAAATACTCTATAAAATATTAATTGCAGAACCATTTCTGGTATTGATGTCCCATTAACTATTCATCTCCTTAAGATAGTCATCTGACCTCCAAATATTTCTTCACATCCGTAAATTAGAAGAAAAAATGTGTTCAGTTTGCATACACTGGCGCGCCCTCTCAGCCTCACCAGCGCCTGAACTCTCATGTTTGTGATTCATCATATAAGAGAATGTAGGTGATGAAAATTATCATTAATATTACTTTCCATTATTAAGAACGAATAACTATCATTAGGTGACTACATTATCATCAACACTACATCCACTTCACACTCCTCTACACTACTAACTACACAATCATTTACACTTTATCAACTACATAACCATTAACACAACATCAATTACAACATAATCTACACTTCATTAACAAACAGAGACGTGACCGATCGCCCAAGCGGCTAACGAGCCGATCAGTGGTGAAGAGGATAAAAGTAAAAAGTATTCTTGGAGCTAGGTGCACAAACACACACACACATATATATATATTCTATGACTTTTATCATTATATATACATTATCTTATTTTTTAATATTATCAACTATAATTATCATTAGCTCTTATAGTAGTATTGATATTATAATTACTTGTATTAGTCATCATTAATTCCTTTACTTCTATTATCATTATTGTTCTTTATGTAAATGTTATTATTAATGTTATTGTCATCATCAGTTTTCTTCTTTGTCATCATTAATTATAATCTTCGCCTCACAGTGTCATCAGCGGTGAACCTGGGCAGCAGCAGCCCCAAGAAGTCTGTGATTGAGGGTGCGGGAGGCAACAGGTCACGGCGGGGGGCAGGGGTGGTCACCATGCCCAGTCTCAACACTATACAGAGAAGCTCCGCCACTTCGGTGAGTCGCTACGGTAAGGCAAGATGAGGTTAGCCCGGAGAAGAGTCGAGGTAGGTCAACAGGGGTTACCTTTGTTTTGGGTTGGGGTGTTTAGATCTTATGTAGATTAGATTCGTTCAACTTAATTTAGTTGGGTTGATTGGATCTGGTTTAGTTTAGTGGGAAGTACTTAAATGTTTGCAGGGTGAAGAAGATGTTGCAGTAAGACAATCTAGAATTAAGTGACGTAAGATGGACAGGTTTAAATGGTATTAGTGATGAAGAATATACCCTCATATATTCAGGTGGCAGAGAGCATCAAAGAGGTGTTGGTATTTTTGTAAATCAGAAGTTGAGTAATTGTGTAAAAGGGATATTAGGCAGCATCAGATAGACTTGACAACAGGGCGGGTTTATATGCCCACAAATGATAACTAAGTAATCATACCTATAAGTAATCATACCTATAAGTAATCATACCTATAAGTCATACCTATAACTAAGTAAGTCATACCTATAACTAAGTAATCATACCTATAAGTAATCATACCTATAAGTCATACCTATAACTAAGTAATCATACCTATAAGTAATCATACCTATAAGTCATACCTATAACTAAGTAATCATACCTATATTATCATTCTACCCAATTGATCTTGTGTTGTTAATATTCACTTTCACTTCCAGACTGACTCAACGCCACCACACTCACCCCTCGCCAACCTCCCGTATGTGTGAGTGAGATCGCCCAGTGTGTCGACAAGGTCACCCCATGCCGTGTTACAAGATCACCCCATGCGTTGTTACAAGAAGTCCCAATGCGTTGTGACAAGATTGCCAAGATTGCCCCATGTGCTGTAAGGAAATCACCCCAGACGTTTTTACAAGTTCGTCCAGTACGTCGTCAAGATCACCCCTTGCATTATGATAAGACCATCCCCGGCCTTGTGAAAAGTTTGTCCAGTACGTCAAGATCACCCAATGCGCTGTGAGAATAAATAGCTCCTAGGGTCTGTGACAAGGATATCCTATGGGTTGTGATAAGTTCGTTCCATGAGCCATTGTTTTCGTGCCATGGGAACCATTGTTTTGTCTTAGGAAGATATATTACTCATGCCTTTCTTTGTAGGGCAGGGATTTCTCTCAGCTGAATGAAATCGCCTTGCGTTAGCCAGAATACAACACGTAAGTGCGCCACTGCCCCACAGAGGGTTAATCTGTTCACATAACAGAAAATTACTTGAAATAAAACTATGCTTGTTAGACCCTACTTGAGTTCTTTTTCACCGAATTGAGAAAAATGGATACTGTAATTATTATTCCATTGGGAAGGTCGTTTGTGATGCCAGTCATATTCGAAAGTTCATAGAATATGTTTGGAATTTTAAATACAATATGTGTATTTTGTTTTTGAAAAAAAAGTGAATAGACGAAGAATTTTAGCCTCATTGGAAATACGTAACCTTAAATCGCGTGTTTGGAGAAGTAAATGTTGACGGAGTCTGGATTCAGTTGTAAATACACCTGTGCAGTAATGATTTTGTGGGCTCTCAGAATAATGTGAGGCAGCTGAGTGTCCTTGGCCACTGATGTTATGCGGATGAAGTTTAAGGTGTTTGGAAACTCGTTGGCTTGGTGGATGTTGTGACTTCAATAGCTACTTCTGTCTGTATATTGAGTGATGGCTTTATGGTAACTGTCGGTGTACTGGTGAGGGACTACCACATACTCATCCTAGCGTGATCTGCTCAACCAAGAGAATCAGAGATGAAATAATTATTTTTTATCTTCTACAAGAGAAGGAAGACTAGCAACACAATTATGTTTTAAAGAATTTGTCATAAAAACAAATGAAAAAAGTTGATTTGGGATAGAAAGGACTAAAATGTAAACTCAGTTATTTTACTGGGATTTTCAGACCATGGTGGACTTAGTAGGAAAGATAAAACAATGACTTTCAAGCTGCAGACGTGAATAGTGTGTGTCTTATGTTGGGGTTGATGCCCTACTCAGATGGTCACGGGCTCACGAGGACCCATGACATGCATACAGAAAAAGTTGTATTGTCAGAGAACATGGTAGTAGTGGCGACTACTAGTACTACTACAGATAACATGGCTCATACCTTAAATTCACGGCTGGCAGTGTTAGTCGTGATGATTATGTGCTCAATTAAACTGAACATTTGTGTACGAAATGTGTGGCGTTGGCCGAGGATGGTTTGTTTACATAATGCTACGATCGATCGATTTTACTTTAGATATATTGAGATCAACAAGCGGCGCAAATTCTACGTGAAATGATTACAAACTACGATACCTCAAGTTTCTTTCATAAAAACAAATTATACACGTTATTATTCAGTGTTTTCTTAAGGTGTGATGACGTCTTTCTCTCCCAGCTGATGCCATGAAGTACAAAATTTGTAAATCTTTGTATCTGATATGTACTTTTTTTTCTGCTGTAATGTCTGTGGGTATTCACTAACATAGCCACCCTTTACCTTCCCCACTCATGGTGTAACTTTACATGTGTGTTTCTAAGTCACATATGTCATTATAAGCCTGAAAATCCCCTAATGACATGAGCTTTGTGTCATTTGTGAGACATGTGTATACTTAGTAATGTAATTTCTTTGTAGATTCTTCATGTCATTGAAAGTCACATGTGTCACTGTAAATCATGTCGCCGTAGGCAATATAATTAGGTCACTTGTCACATGTCCTTGTAAATCCTTTCTCATTGTAAGTCACATGTGTAATTGATAAATCACTTTGTGTCAGTCACATGTGCCATGTCCCAATTTCTTATTCCCTGAGTCAATTTGAAATACATGTGTCGTAAGTCACATATGTCATAGTCAGTTTACATGTGCCAGTTACGTGTGTCGTAAGTTACATGCCTTACTGGTAGCCAACACACAAACAATGTATAGCACATTAGATAGGCAAGTAATTGTTGGCAGGTTAAGTCGAGTCAGGTGACAAAAGTCACTTGGTGACTCTATACCTAGAAGACACTTAGCCAGAGTCGTCAGGTGACTGCTGATGCCAGAGTCACTTGGCCAAGATGCCTGGTGATTCTAGATGCCCATGTGGCCTCCTTAATAGTACTAGCTGCTAGTTCTTTATACTTAACCATTAATCATTTAGCTTTGTTATTTTTATGCTTGTGTGTTCAAGAGAGAAAGAAAGAAAAACAATGAAATTTTTATTCTTTTCTACAATGCATGTGTAACAAACTGCTTCTAGTTTTCTATGGTCATAACATCTATCATGTGATAACACCAAATATAACTATGTTCTTGAGGTAATCCCGAATTGTTTTATTTTACCTTTTTCTTGCTGGTAGTTCAACTCAGAGATTCGAAGCCTCATCCGAACTCACAGGCGTTTCAGTGGACATACTGAGATAAGTCAAGGTTTTCTGGAGTGTCAACAAAGACACACACACACACACACGCACACACGCACACACTTAAGAACCAATAGGAAATAAAACTCCCATTAACTTAATAGACAATGTTTATTATTAAGTAGAAATATCTTTACTATTTTTACTTTTCCTCTAAATTTCGGCTATAACCTAACACTCGAACACGGAATCTGAGCCGAATTACTGTACTAACACATCGGATTTGGTTGGGTATAGGTTAGGTCATATTAAATTTAGGGTAGTGTAGGGTAAAGGGTATAGTGGGTCAGGTTAGGGTATGGGTAGGTTAGGGTATGGGTAGGTTAGGGTATGGGTAGGATTTGGTATGGGTAGGTTAGGGTATGTTTGGATATGGATTAGGTTAGGTTAGGTTAGGTTCTATTAGGTTAGATTCCTGTTTCTGGGATTAGCGAGTCCCTGGAAATACCGTACAAGTGTAAAATTATCTACCTCCGAAAAAAAAGAGTCAAGTGAAAATATTAAAACACAAATAAGTGCGTTTAGACCCTTGAGTGTGTGTGCGTGTGTATGTGTGTATGTGTGTGTGTGTGTGTGTGTACTTAGTGAGGCATTGTGAGAATTCTAGGTTCAAGATAAACCCAGATTGTGCACTCACACTCAAGGGACGCACTCAAGTACTTTCTATGACTGTGTTCTCTGTACAACTCCACCCCACAGAATGGTTTGTACCGTACAGTCGAGGTCAAAAGTTCGCTCCCTCCCAAAATGAAGCAGCATCGACCCCCAAACAAGATGAAACAATCAGGGTAAGTCATTCGGAGACTCATTCCCGTGACTCAGTTTCACTAAGGGGATCGAACTGTTGTCCTCGACTGTAGATACATGTTTTAGTACAGTTAGTTGCGCCAGTTTCTTTGTTCATTTGTTGATTAAGTGACACATTGATGTAATTTCAGGATTTATATATATATTTACTAAAGAAAAACGCTTTGATCTGTATTCACAGTAGATTAAAGTGAGAAAGATCTTCCTCAGCCCGAGAGATATTTATTAACTGTTGGGAAATGATTTGGAATTATGGTTATTGCAGTGTAAGTTAAATTAACAGTGAAAATGACACATCCTGATTACTGCTGTGAAAGTTCGCTGATTGTAATATAAAAGATATATTCTAGTTAATTGACTATGAGATAAATGTCCTGGTTGTTAATTGCAGTGTACATTAACTGACAGTGTAAATAAAATGCGTAAATTACTGCTCCACAAATTAATTAACTACAAAGGATAATTAACTTCATAAACACCAAATATCCTGGTAATTACTACATAAATCAGTTAACTCCCCCCACCCCCCCCAAAAAAAAACTCACAAAAAAACAGTGCAAATTAACTAACAAGAAATAAAATCAACAACTACCTTAACTCTTGCACGTTTTGTTAACTACTTGTGAAGGTAATCAGAACAGAATACCAAGTCACTATAGAGATGACTACTACTTCTTGTGGCGCCATATTAACATGTATAACGACTTGTATTCATGGCCAAAAAATGACACGAGGAATAATGTAATTTTAGTTTAGATTAATATAATGCAATGAAGGGCAGGTTGTTATAGTGATGAGCCATTGAACACGTTATAAATTAGGTTACAAAAATATATATATATGTATCTATATATCGTTATTACCTGTTGATTCACGAATAATAATAATAATAATAATAATAATAATAATAATAAAGTATAATTTGTTTTTACTTGTTTATTTTATATTATAGAAACAAATTTACTGAGAATATTCTTATATACTTTATAAGTTACTTTAATACAACTACAGTGTGAGAGATGGTAAGATGTTTATATAATGCTTAACATATATATAGAATTCTTATGTATGTATGTATGTATGTATGTATGTATGTAATAGTCTTTACTAAAAAAATACCATCGATCACCTTCTTCAACTAAATTACACCTTAGTAGATAAACCATAACGTCACCTGGAAATACAGTACTACACAAGGTCATAAAGCAGAGGTTCCGCTGTTTATACACACCAAAGACTAACATACTGTACCTAGCTGCTGTGTGTGTGTGTGTGTGTGTGTGTGTGTGTGTGCGTGTGCGCGCGTGTGTGTGTGTGTGTGTTTCCCCGCCATATATGGTCTTGTTCGTTAACTAGAGCTCGTACCGTTTAGGTCTCGTAGATTAGGTGACATCCTTTCAGAAATTTAAAGACATACTAAGAGAAACTGACCTACTTTCTCTCGGGTACCAAGAGAAACTGACCTACTTTCCTTCAGGTACCAAGAGAAACTGACCTACTTTCCCTCAGGTACCAAGAGAAACTGACCTACTTTCCTTCAGGTACCAAGAGAAACTGACCTACTTTCCTTCAGGTACCAAGAGAAACTGACCTACTTTCCCTCGGGTACCAAGAGAAACTGACCTACTTTCCCTTAGGTACCAAGAGAAACTGACCTACTTTCCTTCAGGTACCAAGAGAAACTGACGTACCTCTAATCTCAAAGGGTTAACATGAGGAGGTGTTCTAAATGTTCCGTTATCTCTGTTATCTCGTGGTTATATAGAGTTCCCGGTGTCCTACTTTGGTGCAAAATAACTACACTATATAATGCCTATGATAAACAGCACAATGCATGAGTTCCTCAGGCATATATATATATATAAACAAAAATACTCTGATACAAGAAAACGTAAGCCTAAGAGAACGTCACAGTTTTAAGTGAAATGAAAATGTGTAGGATATTTGGCCATATACATTTCATCCTTGTGTGTGGTATGTCAACTTTTGATGGCTTGCACTCAGAAAATATAAGATATATGTCGCATATAAGTATGTGTATATCACTTAATTTTTTTTTTCGACACAAGAGATACAATTTTTAATTGACTTACTATAAGACCTGGGACAAAGATTTTTCTTTTTTAATACCAAATGTATAAAAGTAATGTACTGCCAAGTCTGTATTTATCATCTCTCTTAACACTTACAAGCACAGGTCATATACAGCGACTTATTTTATTCACCAACTCACTCATTATGATCGAGGAGATGTGTTAACGTCGGCATGATACATCGTCACATCTTTAAACATCAAACAGTTTTTTCCTTCCCAGCTATACGAGGAGAAGCTCGATACACCTCCAACACTTCATTACCAAGACAGTTCAATCGAGGGAAGTTCCTAGGTGTAGTAGTAGCTATAGCGCAGGAGGTGGGCGCCTCGAACTGGTTAACTACGTTACCGATAAGGGCAAATGGCTTCAGTCTTAATAAACAAGAATTTACAGATGCCATTGCTCTAAGGTAGAAGGTTTGCCCTCCCAATGCGTGTGTGGCTCTTCCTATGATGGCGATCACGCCATGGTGTGCAAGAAGGGGGGGGCTTCATATGCATGAGGCATGACGAGGTAAGGGATCTCACAGCAAATATGTTGAAGGAAATCTGCCGGGACGTCATGGTAGAACCGACCCTCCTTCCACTGGATGGTGAGATCTTCCAACACAGGACTTCAAACACATCTAACAAAGCCCGTGTGGACGTCAGTGCTCGAGGATTCTGGACGCGGGGACAGCGAGCTTTCTTCGACATCAGGATTTTTGATTCCATGGCCGCATGTCACCGTAACCTAGCTCTCGATGCTGCACATAGGAGGAACGAGAACGACAAGATAAGGGCATATGGGGAGAGAATCCAAAACGTTGATCAAGGCAGCTTCACTCCTCTAGTGTTCACAACCTCTGGTGGGATGGGACCAAGTGCAAGATGTTTCTACGCCAGACTCGCGGAGTTGATCTCCGAACAGAAGCAGCAGCCCAGAAGTTATGTTACAGCCTGGATGAGATGTCGACTGTCTTTCTCTCTCCTTCGGTCGGCTTTGCTCTGCCTCAGGGGAACGAGAGCTTCTGCCCCAACTCCGACAACTGCTGCAGATATTGACTATGAGGCAACAGTCACTGAATGCCGCATAGATCTGCGGCTCAACTAATTTAACACAGATAGGATAGCTTCTTATGTATTAGGATATTTAATATTAAGGTAATTAAATGGTGGCGAAGGTGTGGCTATTGGGGGAGGCTGGAGGCCACGTTAAAAAAAAAAAGTAGTAGTAGCAGTAGTGTCAGTAGTAGTAACACATTGAGGGGATGTGTTCAGGTGACATTCATCTAACACCACTGACAGTTTTTCATTTCACATTTAACTAGAGCTCGTCGTGATACTTCCAACAGTTGTTATTCACAAAGTTCAGTTGAGTTGTGTTCTTGTCTGGAGTTTTCGGGCATGAGTATCTCGAGGGAAGAGATGAAGACATTTTATATAGTCACAACACTTCTTCCACCTGACAAACACAACACTGTTACTAACATTTTTTGTCTGAGATGAACAGCACATTATGATGTTCTGATTAGACTCGGGTCACTAATAGGGACATTACAGCGGGATGTAATATTATGCTCTCGACGGACTTTCTGTACTCTGAAGAGTTCCATTTGTTTTGTCCCCTGCATAATGTACCAACAGGTTTGTCATCTTATTTATTGACAGCATTAATAAAACATCCCCAAACTCACCCTAAAATTCTCTCCCAATTCGACTTCACAGAACAAACACGCCTTCGTTCCCAACACTCGACTTTTCCTTACAAAACCACTGTTTGCGACCATTACTGCTTGCATCTATATCATCTGTATATCAATAGAGTAAACTAGATAATAAACATTGTATTATTTTCTGTGTTATGATACGACCCTGAAGTCAACAGGTAGTGTAGTGAGCACACAGACCAGCTGATTCTACTCACTCATCTTACCCTGCCACACATAACACCTCCGTTCCCTGCAGGCCAGGAGACTTGATCCACGGCTATAAGACTCCCATGTGAGATGAGAATTAATTGTGTGAAAGTGAAGTTACCTCAAACATTACACATTGTGAAGAAGGAAAACGAGGATGAGAGAGATAAGAGACAGTGAGCATCTCTCAGCTGAGGAGACGTTGTTCCCTTGTAGGTAACTGTGACTGCCATCATACTTCCTTGACCTTTCATCCATACTTTTTTCTCTTTTTTCAGCTTCACCTTCCGATGTGCTGCTGTTACTCTTTGCTTTTTTTTCTTTCGCAAGTTTATCATCATTCACAATGCTGACAATCTCGTATTCGTAAGTGTTGCCGTCCATACCGTGGATGATGTACTGGGGGATGTTGCTCTCGTTCATCTCAGAGTGAACTGCAATCAAGATGGTCAGGTTGTGGCCCATGTCCTTCCAGTTGTCGGGCTCAGTGGTGAGGGTGGAGGATATGGTCATGGATTCGACAACAACGGTACTTGCATCTGTCACTGTTGAGGTTGTTTCCGTGCTTGATGCCAAATGTTCAGCTTCCGTTGGTAGATGCACTTCTGTCGTAGTTGGCTCTGTGGCGTTAACTGATACCGGGTTTTCATGACTTGTGGGCGAGATGGTGGTGGTGAGAGTTAGTGTTGTTTCATCGACGGCATTAGGAGTCGATTCCATCAAAGTTGCTTCTGTACTGAGAAGTGTGACGACTTCCTCAGCCTCGGTCACATTCAGACTCACCGTTTCACTGGAGGCGTCAGGTGCTATTAGTTCTGGTGCGTGACTGGCTGTTGTTAGTTCATCACTACTGTAGGCTGGTGTAGAGGTCTCGATGGTCTTGTTCTCTGACTGAATGTTACTTTCTGAGGAACTTGGATCAGCAGCAACAGTAACGGTGAAAGATTTGTCTGCTTTATCACTGTCATCTTCAAGACTGGCAGACCCCGTGTCCAACAATTCATCAGTACTGTTAGATTCTGAGCGTGGGCGAACCAGGTTGGTTGAGTTAACGATTTCTTTACTGCTGTCATATTCCTCTGAGGACGAGGCATTATAATCATCAGAAGAGTCATCAGTAATATTGTCAGTAGTCAAATAAGGTATAGTGGAGTTAAAATCATAATCATCTGGTGTATCCAAGACAAATGTTGTGTTGTCAGTGGCTGTCCCATTGGCTAAGTTGTGAGAAATGAACAGTAGATTGGTGTCAAGAGGTTGAGTATCATCTAAGCTATTATCAAATTCCTCAATACTTGAAAAATCGACTTCATTCTCAACTGGGTGTGGATAAGCGGTCTCCTCCACCACTACTTCAATACTGACGTCAACACCTTCCTGTATTGTGTTGTCTTCTCTCTCACCTTCAGGTTTGTCATCGAGGACCTCATCTACGTCTGTAACATTTGGGTGACTTATATCGATCTTCTTCATTACCCTTAAAGAATTATCTTCTGTTGTCGTTGATGAATATGGAGTCGAAGATTCAGATACTTGGATTTCATTCACAAGGGAGTTACTAGAATCTGATTCCTGATTTGTAACGTTGAGTGTTGTCCTTGTGTGAGTCTCTTGTGTTGGTGGGATGTCTAGTGTTAAGCTGTTGTTGTTGATATCGTCGGTCACCGTATTGTGTGAGGGAGTGACGCAGTTTCCATGTTGGTCCTCCTTACACTTACGTTCTTCATTATTGTCACCGTCGTCGTCATCATCATAATAATCTCTGGTCATTATGTATTCATCAATTATGTCACCATAGTCATCATCATCATAATCTCTGGTCATTATGTCTTCATCTTCATCAACTAAGTCATTATCGTCGGGAGCGTGTATGTGATTGTCATCTCTGGTACGTTCCACACAAGCATAGAGCATCTCGTCTTCTCCTTTCTCACAGTCGTCAACACCATTACAAACGTATACACGATGGATACATTCTCCACTGTCACACCGGAATTCCTCATCTGTGCAATTGGCTTTCTGGATCGGGCGTCCTTTCTCACACTCAACGGGTTGTTTATCCATCTTAGTGACTCGTAAGTCCTTCATGGAGGCGAAAGCGGCACAGAAGGTGAGATCCTCATCCTCTGAAGAGGGACAGTCAGGAACACCGTCACACAGTCGCTGGTGCTCCACACATTGGCCACCCTCCAGGCACCTCAACTCTCCAGGACCACAAGTCAGGAAACCACACACAGCTCCTGACTCGTCCCACCTGGAAAACAGAAAAAAATTCGTCGAAGGTAACATTTACTTCTTAAGAGAGTCTGTTTAAATATCCTCGAAAGGTTAAAGTTTTGTTTAAGAGTATAATGTTATTCTCATTATGAAGAAAAAAAAACACCACTATTCTCACAAAAAAAGGCATCACAGTGTGTACAGAAACAACAAACTGAACATTCTTCAAGAAAAACTGGTCATATTTGACGAGAAAAATCCTGAGACAATAGACTGCTTCCATAATTATGTAATTGAATTCTTAACTAGTTTGAACATGACAACTTCAAGGGACTTTTCCAATAGGCTGGATGACCAACCATTACCAATGACTGAAACTATTGCCCCAGCTACACTTTTGAAGATTGGTCCCATAAGACACAAACCCAGGAAACGCCGGCTACCCCCAGCTTATAAATAAATAAACAAAAACAAATACAAATAAATATTGTTGGGAATCTCCAGCTGACGACCTACCCGTCAGGACAGTGGCTGACACCATCGCAGGTGGCGTTCTGCGAGACGCAGGGGCCTCCCTTGGGGCACTTCAGCTCCCCAGGGTCGCACTGTGTACACATGTACTCGTCGTCTCCCTCTGCAAACAACCGTGTTATGGAGTTTGTTACATAAGGATCATAATTCAGTGGCATAACTATTACCTATTCTAAAAATAATTAGCATTCCGTATATGTGTAATAACTAATAAATTATATTAAATCTTAATGTTTCCTCATAATAACGTCCACTCAGAAACACTTAACAACTTAGCACTAAACACCTAGCAACTTAAGCATAACAACAAATATCTTATCTTTACAAATCTGTTTTAAACGTCTCACTCATTACAGGTCACTCTGGGTAAAATAAGTCCACTTAAGCCAGCGCCTCGCCTCAGTAGCGTAAAGGATCACTAACCATCAACTTGACGTTCATTGACGGATATCCTTCACTTCTTGTGCACCCTTCACCTCGTCCTCCTATTTCCTTCTTGACCTTCTCCTCTCCCTCTGAATTATCACCTCTTTATCAGTCCTTTACTTACCATTCTCTCTATCTGTGTTTCCTTTAACTTCCGTTCATTATCCCCATCTCTGAATATCTCCTCTTTCTCTCTTCTTTTCAACTCTCACAATTCTTTTTTCTGACACGAGTCGCTCTGGCAAGCTCCTTTACAGACATTTACAAACTTTTGCTCTGAATCCCCTACTATAGTTGTCTTATTTGCATACTGATTACGATACTGGAATCTCTCCCCAATGTTCCCGCCAACCCACGCGGGAGAACAACACTAGACTTTGTCCTCCTGGGAAACTTTTTACACTCTTTCCGACAAACACTCGATTGACTCTTTTTCATTTATTTCTCATAGTTTCAGTAATTCTCTCATCGGTGAACGACATTTAGCTGTGTGTGTGTGTGTGTGTGTGTGTGTGTGTGTCCCTTCTTGGGATCATTCCATCATGACATATGGTATAATGACACTTGTGTTGTCATACCATAGAGGAGTGGTATGGGTCTGTGTGTGTTGGATGCTACCACTAAGTTAAGTCCCTCTCTCAGATGATGTTGTGTTTGGGGTTTACGACTATCAACGTCACCCGCCACCAGTGAGCAGTTCAACACATCACAAACAGTGTGATTTTTATAACTAAACGAGAGAATTTATTCGTAACATTTGTTCCTACACAACATATTGTAACTAGAATGTCAATATTAGTACACAAGCGTCAAAAAACGACACAGGACTCAGAATAAGCTATAGGTAAAGGCTGGTTGAGTCCTTGACGTCAGAATTGACTAAACAAAGGCAATGCAGTTTTACAACAATAACACTTCAGCAAGACTACAGCAGGTAAAGCAATTTAGAGAGACACAGAGAGGTCAGGATGGGACAAACCTTTACAGTCGCGGTGACCGTCACAGCGCCAGGCAACTGAGATGCACATCTCGTCCCAACACTTAAAACCTTCACAGTTGGTGGAGTCACAGCCAACCTCGTCCGCTCCATCTGTATTCAAAACAACACATTACTTATGTGTAATAATGCTTAAGACATCATAAGACTAATTACTAAAGAAATTACACTAAAAATGATAAAAGTGATAATAGTCAATAAAATCATAGTAATAATAATATTAATAATAATATATATATATTTTAGTTTTTAGGTCTTTTTTTACGCCCATTATATAGGGACGGCTACCCCTGCCACCTTCCCAGTGACTCCTAGCCGGCTTTTTGGTGTCACTTGTGTCAGAACTCTCGTTAGTGATCCTGGGTAACCTCTGTTGACCACTCTGTGTTCTTCAGGTGCCCAGCTGACCACGTCAAATTCCCTTTTCTAAATCACACACACACACACACACACACACACACACACACACACACAAAACTGATATATACTTAGAGCTTAATACCCCATCCACCTGAATATCCACCTAAATAACTGAAATCACGTGGTCATCCACCTAACTGCCCACTTAATCACCTGGTCATCCACCCGACTATTCACTTAATACATGGCCATCCACCTGACTCTTCAATTAATCACCACACACATATATAATTACCTCAATTACCTGGTCAGCCTCCTACCTGGACAGTCGGGAGCTCCGTCACAGATCCAGTAAGGGGAGACGCATCGCTCAGAGCCCGGGCACCTCACCTGCAGCCCGGAGTAACACTCGGATACGCCATCAGTCGTCAACCCTCCACCCTCTGCAAGTTAAGTCAATATCGAATCATTTACATTTAGGTTATTAAGTTCATATGACTCTAACTATCACTTACCGGCAATACTATATCACTGTAGACATCACTGTAAACATCACTTAGCTATCATTATCATTACTATCTCACTGAAACCATCACTGCAATCATCACTATTGTCTCATTGTAACCATCACTGTAACTCACCCACGTGGAGGGCTCCGGCGTCGAGAGAGAAGGAGAGGGAGGTGCCGGGCTCGTCGTCAGCTGAGAGAGCCTCGAGCGTCGCCTTGTACACTGTGTCAAGCTTCAGGCCTCCTACAGCTGCCTCGCACCCCTGTAGTGTGTGGGGAGCGGTTGGAGGTGGGAGGAGAGGGAGAAGTGGTGGTTGTTAAGTGTTGGAAGGGGAGGGGGTGATGGTAGGATAGAGGGAGGGGGGATAGTTGGGGTTGGAGAGAAGAGAAGGATGAGACAAGACGATTAAATGATAAAGTCACAAGGAAGTATAAGGAAGAAAGAAAGGAGGAAGGAAATGAACAGTGAAGGAAGAAGAGCAATGATGAAACAAAAGGGGAACAGGAGACATGGGAAAGGTAGATACAAAACAGGAAAAGGTTCAAAGAGAAAAAAATGAACGTAAAAGATTTATACATCAATAACTTAAGTACACGTTGGAACACCACACCATAACACTGGTTGATGTCGACACAGGTGGTCAGGCAGGGAATTATAAAGGTCTCATACTCTACATTTTCTTATATGATAGACAGACTACGTAAAATATTGTTACATTCTAGATTTATGTTTTCCCCTTACGATACCATCACCACGGAATAATTGCTTTGTTTGTAGTGTATATGTTTATAATACTGTCATTACATTGCGAGTTACTGGGATATTACAGTAGGTTTTAGGTATGCTTCCCTTCATTAGTGTGTTTACAGGGGCTCGTCATATACAGTAAACATTCCACAAATCATTACATTGAAATATTAGTGTTCCTGTTATTTTACTTTGATTCCATAGTATGTTTACTATTGCGAGTTTCCTTCTGTCGAATTTAAACAATCAGAGGGCTGCCACACTGCAGAAAACCTAACGAGCCCCTGTAAACGCACTAGTGAAGGGGACTGTCCATATCCGTTCCTATATGAATTAAGACACCACCTTTATGTTCTTGTCACCACCTGTGAATTAGTGTACCTGTACTTTATATAACCTATATATGTATTTATTTGTAGTAATATTTCGGAATAAATTTTGAGAAACAGTCGCGGCAGAGCTTGCAAGTACGACTTTTACCATAACATAGTGTGGCCAGATGCCAGATCCTCCCAAAAGTCTTGGGTCACTGTAACTCTCGACAAATTATACCATAACCTTCACACCTAATGCACAGTCTTGGATATTCTGTTAATCTAGTATGAGGTATATTGTCTCCTACACCCACTTGAACTTAAGGATATTCTCTTAATCTTTCTCAGGATGTAGTGTCTTGTGCACACTTACACCTGGATATATCCTGGTAGTGTACGGCGCCTCTCGTGTCTAGAACGTGTTTAATATTCACCTTCGTAAACGATAAATTTTCAAAAGTAGAATCAAACAAGATTCCTAAAATTTCAAATATCAGAATTTTCGTGACTCGGTATTTCGCCTTTTGTGTTTCGATTTTCAGTGTTTTGTATTTCGATTCGTGTAGATAAAGATCCCGTAGTGAATTGGTTAGATCATACACAGCCTCCATGTGATTTGCAAGTGTGTGCACCCTTCTTCTGGCCACCTACACTAGTACAGTAGGTGAATTGACTTACATCTAATGTTCTCATGATATACCCAGTAAAATGCGTGATAAGCTATACCGAGCGTAAATCCTTAACTTTGTTACTAAATCTTGTTTAAGTATTTGTGTTCCCTACATGTACAGTACCTGGTGTAGTGTATAATGTTTGACTTATCGCGAGATACACCTAGCACATGGTTGGATGACCAAAAATTTGTGTAAACCCTTGTTTGCTGTGCTCATCCTGTATAAGGCTTTATATTTGTCACTATTCGTATGTGTGTGTGTGTGTGTGTGTGTGTGTGTGTGTGTGACTTAGCACAACATGTGGGGCGGGTGACCCACCTTATCCTTGCTGTAGATGGAGGTAATGACCTCTCTCACCAGCTGATTGTGGTCCCACACCTGCAGGCGGTACCCCAGAGGCCTCACAGCTGGCTCTGGGGGGTCAGTCGGCTTGGAGGAGGGGGGCGTAAACCCACCTGCAGAACAACCCCAATTAACTTAGGTGCCGGAGAGGACAGGTATGTAATAAAGCTACAAACAATAATATGAGCGAATCACCTTAAATTAACAACACTGGAATAAAGAATTGTGAACAACTTTTCAAGATATAATATAAATGAACAGAAAAAAGATGATATAGAATCTATGGTTGATGGAGATTTTGAGTGTGTGTGTGTGTGTGTGTGTGTGTGTGTGTGTGTGTCAATAACAAAACAATTACAATTATATAAAATAGTAAAAAAATACTATTAGTTCTTGAAAAACCCATAAATTCTTAAGATAAATTAAATATATGAACAAGTAGATAATATGTAAATGAAGTTCAATATAACTACACCTTAATTATTACTTATGGAATCTATCTCTTGTCCTCCACACTCACTTCCACACAGTAAAAATAACATAACATTGTATCCTTAGTATTATCACTTGCCCACAGAGTCATCATCCCTTTAAACATTTTAGTATACTACTCCGTGACCCCTGAGAGCAATTAACCCAGCCTAGAGAAGTCTTAACTATGAGGAGTCTTACCTATGAGGAGTCTTACCTGTGAGGAAGGGGGTGGGTGACCAGCGTAGCCTGACGGACACGCTGATAGAGGTCAGGTCAGCGACAGTGCTGAGGCTTCTCCCATACGTCGCCTTCTGACCCAGACCAAGACCTGACCCACAGACACGCCCATATTAGTTCACTGTCTTTTGATTATTATTATTATTATTATTATTATTATTATTATTACTGTTATCATTCTTATTTATTATATTATTATCATTATTGTTATTATTCTTACTGATTATTCCTCTTATCATTTATTCCCTAAGAGAATCGGAGATCAACATTTACTCAGTACGAGGATATTAAGGTCACAAAGAACCCATTTTGGAGCCATTTTGGATTTCAACCTCACTGTGGGATAATGGCGCGCCGATAAGGTGAGGTTTTACGTCGTGTCTAAAACACTGTATAAACGCCGTGGAAGTCAACCTTTATACCACCACCTTTACCTGTGAGAAGGGTGGGGGAGGCGATAGTGAAGTTGAGTAGGTTGTAGGGCCAGTGATGTTGTCCCACTAATGCTATCAGCCGTCCATTGTACGTCATGTTGCTCGCCAGACCCTCAAACTGCAACACAAGTATGAGATGTAATGCGCAGAAGATGTGTGTTTACTGATGTTGCAGATGGTGTATAATAGTTACTATAGAAAGACAAACAGCAAAAATATTATAGAGAGAGATGAGTTGCGGATCTTAAATTTCTTTTTAGTCTTACATTATATAAAGGATATTTGAATTCTGAAAAGGTGTACAATGTTTGCAGGAGGTGATGTGGATGTCAGAGGTGTTGATATAGTGTCATTTTGAGATATATTCATTAACATTGTTATTGTATCATCACATGGAAAGTCATCTACTGAAATGACATATATAAATAGTTGTACTGATATTATAAAACACAAACTCTGGCTTAGTAGGAGGGAGTCATATAATAATTGTTTCATTTTGTATATTCTCCATCATTCACAAAACATAAAGAACGAGTGTGAAGATATAACTTTAACTGAGGCAACACAACACAACACAACACAACACAACACAACACAACATTTCAAAACTGTATCAACTGATTAACTGTACTCAATCATCCTCTCTGTTTCACACAAGTATATTTTCTCTCACACATTCTGATATTATTCAATACATAAAGCTCATCAACATCAATGAATAATATTACCTGAATATTTATTGGACATTAAACTTAACTTTGACATATATAAGAAGACTAACATTATTCACTCCATGAAATTGATTTACTATTGGTAATTTTTTTCTAAACATACATACACATTAATGGAATATAAATTAAATATTCTCCCTAAGTTAAATATGGCTATTACGTTTTTTTCAATACCAATTTAGATTATTTTACAAAACATGAAAATATAATAAAAATAAGAAATAGTAATCAGAGTTCTGGGAAAAAGAATGAAATTTAACTCCTTGTGTACGAGTTTTCTCCCTGTGCTGAGTACGTCTGGCGATAATTAAATACAATATTAAAACTAGCGTCCCTGATAGTAATGGGATTAAACCAAACAAAACTAAAACAAATTTACTCTATTTAAAAACAGTTGAGATAATTTTTAGCATTAGAGTTGGCCAGTGACGGGAATTTAGACTTAATTTCGGCATTAAATCTGTATTTCCTCGGCACGTAACGAGGAAAGTTTGGAGCAGCTTCATTAGGGCGAGTTAGTACAGGCTAGTATACTTCTTTCTTGTGTCGAGTTAGGTAGTTAAGCCAGAGTTTATACACTAATGTTTTTTTTTGTATTGTATTGTACGTGTTCTCCTGACTGACTGACTCTTGGTGAAGGAGTCTGTGTCAGCTCTTACTTACTTATTAATCATTAGTGTCAGCTCTTATTAACTAGCTTGGTAGTAACTGTTGGCTATTAGTGTAAGTTCCCACTAAGACACCTGACGCTAGAACAATAGTTTGAGCTTTCACTAAGACACTGGTTAATGAGGGCTGTCGCCAACTACACCTCATTGTTAAGACAGAAACGCCACCATCTGTCAGGGTGTGTGGTTTACGATACATTTTGGACAGAAGGTGAGGCTCCTGTTTGTCTGTCTTTCTCAGTCTGTCTGTCTGTCTGTATCTTCAGACTCACCTGGTGTTGGAGCGTAGAGGAGTGGTATATGGTGGTGGTGGAGATGGGTGAGTGGTGGTGAGGGAGAGTGAGGGAGAGGCTGTAGGCTGTCACTGCCCCATTGATGGAGAGAGAGAACCTAGATGGCCACTCCATCCCCAACGACGCATCTGTGAGGGAGAGAGAAATAGGTTAAGGTTAGATTAGGTTAAATTAGGTGCGGGTGCGGGTGAAGGGAGGAGGGAAGGGGGGTTAACACCTGGTGGGCGTGAAGCACAACAAGCTATGATAGACACGCCCATCATCTCTCGGTGGGGGGTGGGTGGGGGGAGGAGAATAATTTGCCATTTACCTTAAACTTAACCTGATTGGGGCGAAACTTATGACAAACATCACTACTGTCGTCTTGTTTGTTTACTTTCTTATGGGATACTTACTAGCGTTTTTATATAGACGCATATTATGTAAACTTGATGGTTCAGTTAAGAAAAAATCAAATTTGTTCTCAAGAAAATAAGGTTTGAATTTTTTTTACATACGAAGCGCGCGGGTGGTCTTGTCAAGGTATAGGCTGACTAGGTTAGATTAGGTGAGGTAAGATTAGATTAGATTAGATTAGATTAGGTTAGAATAGGTTAGGTTAGGTTAGGTTAGGTTAGTTTCCTCTTAGAAAATATATAAAAACAATTAAGATTCCCTTTTCGTGATATTTTTCTAACACCGGCCATGTTGATGACTCAGGGTGTGGTAGTGTGAGTGTCCCTCCCTCTCTAACTCTCTCAGGACTGATGACCTGATACTACAGTCACTTGCCCTATATTTAGTTGTGTTATATATTTATGTGTGTGTGTGTGTGTGTGTGTGTGTGTGTGTGTAAATTGAAAGTGTCATTTATACATATTAAACTATGACAGCATCATCATCATCATCAATCATCATTTTTTCTGTCTTTTCCTATCTCGTGGTATCAGGCCTTGGATCTCTTTCCCTTATCCCCCTTAACTGTCGTGTTCCTCGTCCTACATGGCCGACCCGACTCCTCTTCCCAAGCCCTTATAATAAATATCTCTTGGTTTAATCTGAGATATCTCCTACTGGCTCTTAGATCTTGTCTCTATAAGCTGTGTCAAGAGAAAATCTCCTTATGTATAAATGTATCTGTAAATCATGACACATTATTATTGTTTCCCTGTGTAAATTAGCACATTCAGAGCAGCATATCACACACACACACACACACACACACACACACACACACACACACTAAAAAAAAACAAAAAACACTTTCATCTTAGAGTCAAACACACCCTCAAATGTCGGCAAATACACAGTGTATAATTTACTTCTGTTTACTTGAACACGAAACTGTAATCGACGGTCTTGGAACTTTAGTCACAAGAACTGCCGCGTCGAGAGAAAACTTTGCCTCCGTATTTATTTATCAGATTGCATTTGATTCCTTGGGTTGTACAGGGAGAAACTAGGGAGAGAAGAAAGGGAAGAACTAGGGAGAAAGGACAGGGAGAAACCAGGGAGAGAAAGAGAAACTAGGCATGGAATAAGACACGCACGCACACACACACACACACACACACACACCGCAAAAAAACACAACTGGAAGTCAACTAGAGAACCACAACCGGTTTCAGAATTAACATGTCCTACGTTGTCATGATTTCGTGGATAAAAAAAAAACTGTTAATCCAGAAAATGTATGAAGGTTGTCCGAATGACTGAGTCACTAAAATGAATTTGCATGTTTGAGTCTGCGTAGTTTACATATATACATCCCGAATAGTTGGTTATAGGAGAGAGAGAGAGAGAAAGAGAGAGGGGGGGGAGGTAAAGGGAGAGAGAAAATAGAGTAGAAAAAGGTGAGGGGTCTGAGAGAGGGAGAGAAAATAGAAGGGGAGAGAGAGAGAGAGAGAATGAGGAGGAAACGAGAAACAGAGGATAATGAAGTAAGAGAGCGAGGAAAAAGAGAATAGAGTAAGAGAAGACTAAAGACTGCATGAAGAATGAGAGCAAATTTTGGCAACTGAAAACGTATAGATCAATAATCAAAGAAACTCGAGCAGAGACATACAGACAGACAGACAGACAGACAGACAGACAGACGCTCATCCAATATAAAACCGTCTAAGAAATTCTCACATTGTAATTTCATTCTTTAATCTACTGGAAGTGTTCAAATCTTTTATTTTTTAGTTTTGGTTCCGTCTGACAGCTTTATGAATACCAATCTTGGCTCCCTCACTGAGTTCCATGTAGAGAGAGAATCTTCGACGAGCTCGGTGTGTCAAGCCTGCTCTGATGTTAGCTTCAGTCATCCGAGTTATTTTTATTTTGTGTGACTAAATCCAAACTCGTATAGGCAGCTCGGTCGATTCACCTTTTGATCGCCTCTTATTCTCTATTTACAGGTACTTCACATGTCGCCAGGTACGGTGCTGATCGTAATTAACACCAAGGGAATAAATAGCGAGTCAGAGTGACGGCCAGAAAGCAATCTAAACTTCCTACCGTCACTTGGAATCCAACACACGTACTTGGCGGCGATCAAAATTTACCTTCAAGAATTCAAGGAGATTTTCTGGACACAATTTGATACCCCCTCTCGCTCGTTGTTCGGCCGCGCACCAGAAGCTCATAGAGAGTTTGACTAACTTTATAATACCTTACCTAGACATTGGACTCTTATACCCGCATTACGAAGCACTAAAATCTACTCAATACCTTCGAGGACAGAGTCAGCAGGTTATTGGTAAATATCAACGAAAGAGACTTACTTAAAGCACATATAACAGTCAGGTAAGTCTTCTGAACGACGGAGAGTAAGAGCCTTAGCGGGATACAAGCGCAACTCTCAAAGTTTGGCTTGATTCTACATCCAGTCATACACCAGGGCCTACACCTACACCAATATGGCCTATAGCAAACCTGTAGCACCAATCACGTCATATATATAGTGATAAAACTACTGCGACGTTATGGCTTGGAGACACGTGTTACCACAAGGGGTGTAAGGACACATCTCCGTAAGTGTACCATCAAACACGGCAGATCACTCAGCCTCCTACTACCCTCCCCCCCTCCCCGCCAACTTTCCATCCATCAATTTCTAAAACAATTGGAAACAAACACTCATTTTTCACTATTCCATCTACTGTACCAACTTATTACACACACACACACACACACACACACACACACACAGCAAGACATATCCAGTTAACCTCTACTTAATTCACTTCTAGTTAATTAGTTTTCTTTATCTCTCGTACCTTTTATCCATCTTTCTCAAAACCTATTTCCTTCTATTTCCCGTCCCGTATTCCCAAAGAGAATTACTAAGGTCGGTAAGTAAACTCGCCTGGGAATCCATAATTGAAGTAAGTTATTAAGGTCTTACTTGTAAGGTAATATGATGAATGCTTAAAGAAAGGTGTATTATGAGAGAGAGAGAGAGAGAGAGAGAGAGAGAGAGAGAGAGGTTAAGCCATCGTACTCATGGTGAATTTACTCAATGGGTAGAGTCATATTACTCAGGAGAATGACATATTGTACTCAAGGAATAAAAAAAAAAGGTTTCCCACGATCATTATACGAAGTGAATGTTTCTCCTTCACGTGGGACTGTTATTGTGGGGTTATTTTTAGACGCTGTTGTTCATATACTTTTAACGTCATTGACACAAGTATGAACATTCTAACATCTGTAGCTAAGGAGAACATTCAACCTAGGAATCTTTGGAAAGAACGTAGGCGTTGTAGTCAGAAGTGATTTCCCCGAAGACAACCTCCTTACTGCTCAATATGCCATCAATCCTCGTTACCGCAGGAGGAGGAGGGGGGGAAGGGAGAAGGAGGAGGAGGAGGAGGAGGAGGAGGAGGAGGAGGAGGAGGAGGGGAGGAGGAGGAGGAGGAGGAGGAGGAGGGGGGAGGAGGAGGGAGGGGAGAGGAGGAGGAGGAGGAGGAGGAGGAGGAGAGAAGGAGGAGGATGGGAGAAGAGGAGAACGGAAGAGGTGTGGAGGTGAGAATGTGATAGGGAATCAAGGATTTTTTTTTTTACCTCCCTGGAGTCTTTGATACGTGTGGAAATAAGACTAGATGCTTCCGCCTGTAAACAACTTTTCCTGATACAACTTTGTGGGTTATTTCAAAAACTTTATTCCAATTTTCTACACATTTAGAAAAAGGTGCACGTCTGTTTTTTCGTCAGATTTCTCAAAGTTCCTAAAATTTGACAGAAAAAGTCAATTATTTTTTTTTTCTTTTGTTTTGTGTCTTTAGGCGAGATTATGTTTCTATTAATGGCTCTTGTTTCTTTTTCTCTCTCATTTTTATTTAGTTTTTTATTCATTTCTTTCTCTTCTCTTCTTCTTTATTATCCTCATATCCTTCTCTTCTACTGACATTTCTACTCCTCCTCCACAAGTTGTTAGGCGAACTTGCATTACCTAGATTCTTGTTCTTTTTATAATTTTCTTCTCTTTCTCTTCCTCTCTTTTTCACTTAATTATTATCATATTCTTCTTCTTCTTCTTTCCCTTTCTGCCCCTTACGATCGTTTTCGTCTTCATCGTTTTACATTGATTTCCTTCCGTTATTATATTCTTTTTTTCCGATTTACTGATGTATTTTATATTTCCAGTCTTCTACGTCTCTTCCTTCCCCCTAATCCCTTCTGGCTACCTGGGTAAAAGCCAATGTTGCTGAGTCATGCTGACGAAGCAACTTTCCCACTTGGCTTACACGGAACACAACGACAGTATCAAAAACAAAAGTTCGGTGCTTCTATTTGTTTCCAGACAATACTATAAAGAGAGAGAGAAAAAAAAAGATACGATAATGGTTTTCGCTGCTAAAGTTGAAATTTATTTTAATGACGAGGATCGTATCGTTTCTCCCATACTGTCATGTGAGTTTGTTTCACCTCGGTCGAGCACGGCTGTAAGGAGGAGAGCACAGCCACCGCCACAACACCCCTGTGATTAGCCGACGATGCTAGAGTCAGCATTGTGTTAGGGTCTGCTGTGAGATTTAACTCGAATCTTAAAGTTGGTGATATTGAACTTTTTCTGTGTTTTTTTTTTACTAATACTTATACTAAAATAGTTTATTAAGCCAGAAAAGGTACAGATATACGAGTAGAAAGAACAATAA